ATGTTGAGGTGTAGTAAATCACAGTGTGGCTTTACTAGCCGTAAGTTGTTATAAACTCCATGGTGGAATTTGCCATGAGCCACTGAGTAGCTCCTGATTGTTTAAGTTATCCACCTGGGGTATTTCTGTTGGGAGCAGCACAAAGTAATTTTCTGGGAAGTTCACTGTCCCTCAGGTGTATATAATTCTGATGTTGGGATTGGTTGGTTTGGCCATTCTGCCAGGCTCAAAAGGAGCCAACTTAGAGGCAGGAGTATCTCTGACTGATGGCTGAGAAAGATGTGCTGCTGAGAGAAACGTGCTCCTGAGAGACACGCACTTGCTGAGAGACGTGAGAGGCACGTGCTGCTGACAGACACATGCTACTGAGAGAGAGTCACGAGAGACATGCACTGCTGAGAGAGTGCTGGCTGCTAAGTGAGATGGTTGGCTGCAAGAGACCAAGTGCATTTCTGAACTTGAATTGTATCCTGTTGCTTCCCTAATAAACCCATATTCTGTGAGTTCTGTGTGGCCACTGCAGCAAATTATCAAACCCAGCAGAGAGGTGGTGGGTCTCTGAGAGGAATGGTTGGGTGAAAGGGTTGGAGGGAGGCAGCATGTCTGACCTCTCAGGAATAGGCCTTGGGTTACTGATGGTGATTCTGTCTTCCTCTTGTGGGGTTAGAGTAGGTCAGCAGATGCAGCCTTCTTACCTCTTTGGCGGATGTACATCAGGTTGCTGAAAGAACTGACTCAATGGCACCTGACAACAAAGACTTCAAATTTTACATGTAGAAGAGCTACACTATTCCACTAAAATTAACTAACTATGGAATCAGTTTTTTGGTCCCTGTATTCACTAAAAACTCACTAAAACCAAAACCAAACTCACTGCCATCAAGTTGCTTCCGACTCAAAGCGACCCTCATTGGGTTACCAAGGCTTTAAATCTTTACGGAAACAGACTGCCTCATCTTTCTTCTGTGGAGAAGCTAGTGGGTTCAACCACCGAACTTTGGTTGGCAGACAGATTTCTTGACCATTGCACCATCAGAGCTCCTTCACTAGACAACTAGATAAGACATTACTGAAAAATAGCAAATAGTAGGCAGATTGTTAGGTCTCAGATAAATGTGATATGTTTGTAAATTATGAATTCAACTGCAACTACTCATCTAAACAAGTGAATGACTTAGCCACATTGGTTTTCAATTTTCATCATTTCACTTTATGTAAAAGCTAGTATAGTTTCTTTATTTCGTGTCCTCACAAAATTATAATTTGGTAGGAAAACCATAAAAATTGGTGCTTTCTAATTTTGGTATTAGAAACTTTCAGTTCTAATACCAACTGCAAAATACTAGCATCATTTATTTAGAACCTAGTTTTGTAATTTGTATTTTTATGACAAATGAGTCAAATTCTAAAAATTACTTTCCCATTGTTTAAGAAATATAAGAAAAAACATTAAAAAAATGTTGTTATCTATGGCTGTTCCTCAATTAAAATACTTAGTAGTGTCATAATTGCTGTTCTCATTCTTAGTACGAAATTCAGAATATTGGAAGTGGTAGTTGAAAGGATAGAAATATTTTATTGTCTAACGAAAATCCTCTATAAAATAGATTATTTTAACAAAATTCACATGTTAAATTAAATTAATTATCTCCCCCTCCCTTTTAGGACTTGAATTTTATGGCTATGTTAAGCTAATAAATTTTATTCGACTTAAGGTAAGTTGATACCTTCGTTTATAACTTTGTTTAGAAAGTGAAGAAATAGCACAGTGACTGTCAATGTGCTGTTTAAAATAATGAAAAAGAAGAACCTTAAATTTGGTCTTCATCATACTGGGCAAATCATAATCATTAGGAGCTGGCACAACATAAAGAACCAAGTGAATGTATATCGATATGCACTTAGGTGTGGTTTTTAGCAGTGTCACTGTGTCTCAGAGATGAATCGTTCTGTGGAGATTCAGTATCAGTTGACCTATCCCTTGCTTTTAAACCAAACCCATTGCTGTTGAGTCGAATTCTGACACGGTGACCCTATTGGGCAGAGTAGAAACCGCTCCATAAGGTTTCCAATGTTGTAAGTCTTTACTATAAAGCAGACTACTACATCTTTTGCAGAGCAGCTGGTGGGTTTGAACTGCTGATCTTTCCGTTAGCAGCCAAGCACTTAACCTCTGCACCACCAGGGCTCCTCTCTTGCTTTTATGTAGATCAAATTTAAAAAAAAAAACAGGTGTCTCAACAAACTTAGAACACAAGATCACTGTAAACAAAATGTCTTAGAAATCGATTTTTTTTTTAAATGGTAAATACTGATAGATACTATTTCAGTGAAATCAGAAATAATTTCTATTGTGATTTCTAGTACTTTGGTGGTTCTTTTTTTTATGCTATTCAAATGAATGTCTTACTATCACCAATTTCCCCAAATTCAAACAATGTAAAACTCTGCATTAGAGCTATTTAAACAAGTTAATAAAATGACAGGTGAATGTAGACTCCTAGTTAGAAAGGAACTAATTTTGTTTAATGTGGACATGATTTCCTTTTTTTATTTCATTTCCTTAGTTTTTACTAGGGGGATTTTGTGATTATATGCAATTTGAAAAACATGAAATTAATTTTACATCCAGAATCCTACAGTGGAATATATGAATTCCATATATAACCCCGTGCCTTGGGAGAAGGAAGAGTACTTGAAGCCAGTATTAGAAGATGATCTGTTACTTCAGTTTGGTAAGATGAACATACTGTATGTACTTTAACTAATGGAGAGCCTTTCGTTATGGCAAAGTGGTTAGGAAAATACGTCATTTCCCCAAATCTCTAAAAACCACATCAGGAAGATGAGTTCTATTAAAACAAAAAAAATTTGAGTTGCATAAAAACTAACAAACACTAACAGTTACCAGGAAGGATTTTAGAGATATGCGCTTGTTTAAACATTTTGTATTGGATATTTTGAAACACACTTGAGAGAATAGTTTATCATTTTTAGACTCTGATTTAAAAAATTTTGAAGTAGATTTAATATTTGCTGCTTTTATCTCATATATTCAAATTAGGCAGTTTCTTAAGACAGTGAATTTGCTGAGATTTTGTTTGATTCAGAATGCATTCCACTGCCATTTTCATGGCCTTTCCCTCATACCCTAACTTGTGATCCTTGGGGCAGAGTCGCTCTGATTTCTTGACTAGCTTTCTTTTTTGGTTACTTGCTTTGTACTTTGTTCTATTCCTTGTTGAAGAGGATCTTACGAAAATTCTGCTGGCCTCTTAACAGAGATTTTGTAGGTCTTATCTATAGGAGATAAATTATTTATTCTTTTCTTATTTATACTTTATTTCATGCTTCTTAAGACAGGTGAGATAGAGAGGGTTTACTCTCTTCAGATCAGCAAGACTATCCTCAATGGACATATATCTTAACTGATAATAGTTTGATGATATGTATTTGAGAAGATCTTTGGTTAGCAAGGACTGAAGAAAACTACTTATTTCCTTGGGAAGTATCAACCTTACATTCTGTGGCTATGTAATGTAATAGTCAGAACATGAATGCAGTAATCAGGAATTGTGTGACTTTGGACAAAGCACTAAGCTTTCTGGTTTCAAGTATTTTCATCTGTCAAATGAGTTAGGTCCAGATTTCTTTTCTGAGATTCTTTCTAGCTCTAAAATTTGATGATTCCCAAGTTAACTTCTTCCCAGGTTTTCACAGCCTCTTTTTAATTTCATTTTCTCAGAGTGACCAAAGTGATCTATTTCATAAATGACAACGTACCAATGGGTATTCTTCATGACTTTCTAAATTCAGAATCATTTATTGAATGCTCACAGGGTGAAAGTAGTGGACTAAATGCTTTAGAAACATGAAGGCATGAATGTCATAGTCCTTCCCACGGGGAGACTAGAGTCTAATAGTGGCAGTGTTGATTTTGTTAATGTCTATCCTGTATTGTAATACAAGGGAGAGCATGACAAGTTGCATGAGAAGTAGAAAGGGTAGTGCAGTTCAGAAGAGATTACTCTGTTCAGCAGATTCTTGTGTGCTGTTTGCTGAAGATTGGATACAGATGTGTATTGAATGTTAAATTCTCTCCAAGGTGTATAAACTTAATCTGTCAGCCTTAATTTTAATTTATGAAACAGTAATAATGAAACTTACTTTATAAGATCATTGCAAAGATAATGTGTGTTAACATACTACCTACCACAGGGTAAGTGCTTAATAAAGGAAAGTTTGTTGTTATTAATAATTAAGTACATTCTAGAGGAGTTAAGAAGAAGATGTCATAACTGAGGTCTTAAACACTTAAAGAGAACTAAGAAAAGAAATGGGACTTAAGTTGGACATACTCTTGAATACGCTGCCCTCATTTTCTCAAATTATCGGTGCTCTTGGCCATTGGTGGAAACAGTTGAAAGGGAAGGTCATCATTCTTCTGACTCATCTTGATTACTGATTATCTTATCTCCACTGTCTTTCAGTAAATATTTATTGAGCATCTGCTAAGTTTTAGGCTTTGAGGAAATAAAGGTGAGTGAGTTATTAAAGGAGATGATCAAGAAAGTAGGCAGTGAATGTATAATACAACTTTTCAGTAAAAATAACTTTATAATGGAGGAAACTGGCAAGCTGGGCCTTAGCCAGGTAATCTAGGTTAACATTATTATAAGTCGTAAGTCATGTTGGTAGTGTGTCCCTTGATGTGATGTAATATGAATAGTGCTTTGCTTCTGTGGCCTTCTTCCTGAAAACCCATAATCACAGTCTAGCCATGAGAAGGAGATCAGATAAACCCAAATTGTGGAACTTTCTACAGAACACCTTAACAGTATTCCTGGAAAACTGTTGTTGTTGTTGTTTGCCATCGAGTTGGACCCGACTCATAGCGACCCCTCCTTGAATTTCCAAGGCAGTAACACTACAGAAGTAGACTGCCCAATCTTCCTTCCGAGGAGTGGCTAGTAGGTTTGAACCGCCAGCCTTCTAGTTAGTAGTCAAGTGCCTTAGGCTCTATGCTACTAGAACTCCTGTTAGTGTCATCCAAAAACAAAGAAAGCCTGAGAAACCGTCATGGTACAGAGGAGCTTAAGGAAGATGTGATAACTAAATGTAATGTGGTATCTTGGATGGAATCTTGAAATAGAAAAGGGACATTATTAGGCAAAAACTAATGAAATCTAAATAAAATTAGGAGTTTTGTTCATTAAAGGATGATACATTATTTGGAACATATTCCACAAAGGGTCAGTATCTTTTCTATATCAGGAATGTTCTGGTTCCTTAGTGCCGCTCTGACAAGAAAATACCGCAAATGGGATGGTCTTAACAAACAGGAGTTTATTCTTACAATTTGGAGGCTTTAAGTCCAAGTTCAACGTTGAAAGCCCCTCAACCTTGGGGTACAGCTTTGCCTCCTGCTCCCGGCCCACTGGAGCTAGAGGCATTTCTTCACTCAGACAGCTGCTGGCTGCTGAGGCTGAGAAGCTGCAGGGTTGACAAGTAAAAAGGCACAGTCCCGATGTTACCAATCCACATGGCAGGCCATTAACTTAAGTCCATTGTACGTCCCAAGGTCGGCAGAGCATAGCAGGCTGCTGAGCAATGACACGGCTACATGCAGGGTCCGAACATGCCAAAGGCTAGAGCCCATTTTCAGAGCTTCTCCTTATACACAGGAAGCAGACCACATACCCAAAGGCAGCTACTCAGCTGCTTGTGGTAGATCCCACTATGGAGTTAATTACCAATCTCATCATGGGGAATACTGCATCCAGCTGCCCAGCCACTCAACCAGGCCTACCCAAGTTGACATACAAACATAATCATCACAAGAACTTAAAAAATGTGGGACAAAGGACCAAAAGCTATAGAAAAATGGGGAAAATACATGAACAGACAGTTCACAAAAAAGATATAAAAGTAACCCCCATTCATATGAAGAAGTATTTAAACTCATCCAGTTGGAGAAATGCAAATTAAAACAACACCAAAGTACTACTGGTCACCTCTCAGGCAAGAATTTTAAAGTATTTTGTTGCTAGCATTAATTTTGGGTGAATTAACTAGTGAATGAATGTACTTTTTAAAAATAAATAAATAAATACTGACTCAGTATCCTGCCAGGGTGACTTTATTATATAATTCAATCTGAGTGAAGATGAATTTAGTCAGTGGCATTAGAGTGACTCTTTAACAAGAAGTTAGTGTTCTAGTAGCAAAGTTAGAATATCATATTTGCTAAGCTTATCTAGGCAGTCAGCTGAAGGGATTAGGTGAGGAGAGGCAACTCAGGCCCGCCCAGAGTAGCAGGCCAGAAAAGCAGGAGAAAGGGGATAAAAAGCCAGGAACCCGGACAGAAGAGCAGTCAGCCCCAGGGTTACAGGTGAGGAGAGACAACTCAGGGACGCCCGAAGTAGCAAGTGGGAAGAGCAGGAGAAAGGGGATTAAAAGCCAGGAAGCCAGAGAGGGGCAGTCAGCCGAAGGAATTAGGTGAGGAGAGGCAACTCAGGCAGGCCCAGAGTAGCAGGCCGGAAGAGCACTTGATTGTACTCATGAGGAATCTGTACCTTGACCAGGAGGCTGTTGTTCGAACAGAACAAGGGGACACTACATGGTTTAAAATCAAGAAGGGGCGTCAGGGTTGTATCCTTTCTCCACACTTACTCAATCTATATGCTGAGCAAATAATCTGAGAAGCTGGACTATATGAAGAAAAGCGTGGTATCAGGATTGGAGGAAGAATCATTAACAACCTGAGATATGCAGACGATACAACTTTGCTTGCTGAAAGTGAGGATGACTTAAGGCACCTACTGATGAAGGTTGAAGAATACAGTCTGCAGTATAGATTACGTTTCAATATAAAGAAAACAAAAATCCTCACAACTGGACCAATGAGCAGCATCACAATAAATGGAGAGAAGATTGAGGTTGTCAAGGAATTCACGTTGCTTGGTTCTACAATCGATGCCAACGGAAGCAGCAGTCAGGACATTAGACGACGTGTAGCATTGGGAAAGTCAACTGCAAAGAAACTGTTTCAAGTGCTGAGGAGCAAGGATATCTCATTGAGGACTAAGGTGCGCCTGACACAAGCCATGATATTTCCAATCGCCTCATATGCATGCGAGAGCTGGGCAATGAATAAGGAAGACCAAAGAAGAGTTGATGCTTTTGAGTTGTGGTGCTGGCGAAGAATGCTGAAAGTACCATGGACTGCGAAAAGAACTAACAGATCTGTCCTGGAGGAAGTGCAGCCAGAATGCTCCTTGGAAGCAAGAATGGCCAGACTTCATCTCACCTATTTTGGTCATGTTGTCAGAAGGGACCATTCCCTGGAGAAGGATGTCATGCTTGGTAGGGTGGAGGGTCAACGAAAGAGGGGGAGGCCTTCAACGAGATGGATTGACATGGTGGCTGCAATGATGGGCTCAGATATAGCAGGTATTGTGGGGCTGGCGCGGGATCGGGCAGTGTTTCGTTCTGCTGTGCATGGGGTCGCTATGAGTCAGAAACGACTCGACGGCACTTAAGAACAACAACAACAAGCTTAGCTATTTTGTCCCAGCTCTGAAGAAGTATCTTCAGAAGTAGCATAGCTAAAAACTGCGTAGGAAAACAAACTGACGTTGCCATATTTTTCCCCAGTGCCAATACTAGGTAGAAAATATACTATCTGCACTGCTTTTGTTGCTTAGGTTGATCGAAAAGTTAATGAGACTAGAAAATGGATGTTGAGATTTTGTAAAAATCATTAGCTCCATGTGGTAACTTTTGTTTGCAGAGTTATTTTACAGCAGATGTTAACAATTTATATATAAATTGAAGTTGAGTTTAAATCTGGAATTTTGAATACATAAATGAATAAGATATTGGTTTATAGATTCCACTTTTCCTTGCCCAGGATGAAAAATACAGAATTCTGTATCTAGACACTGCCTTCAGGAGCATTGGAACATAATACCTGCTTTTCTACAGCTAAGGACAAAGAGCCTCAGCAGTGCCTTTGTGCTGCTGAGAACACGGCTAGGAAGGCAGACCTTCCTAGCTAATAGTTAGCTCCTCCATTAAATAGTTGTATGGCTTTGGGCCAGGTATTTCTCTGAAATTTATTTTTCCCATGCCTATAGTGGGGATAAATATTTACATCTTAGGTGTTTTAGGGTTGAAATGAGAAGTAATATGTGTAATTGAGAAATATCTGGTGATCGGTAAATATTAGATTTTTTGCCTCCCACTTATCTTTATTTGTTCCTGGGTTTGGTTCATTATAATGTATACATTATTATTTTAGCTGACTAATGAAAAACTTAGACTAACAGCATGCTCTTTGAATTAAAGTCAGAACATTTCAGAGGTTAAATATTTTTTTTAATTAAAAGTACCTTTACTAATTTTTTCTCAATTGAGCATAAAATAACCACCTAGTATCTACTTATTCCTAACATGTATATTTGCTTCATTATCATAAAAATGGCCTGATCGTGATTCCATTTGTTTCTTTAGATGTAGAAGATCTTTATGAACCGGTGTCAGTCCCATTCTCATACCCCAATGGACTCAGTGAAAATGCATCTCTTGTTGAAAAATTGAAACACATGGAAGCCAGGGCACTGTCTGCTGAGGCTGCATTAGCTAGAGCACGGGAAGATCTGCAAAGAATGAAGTAATTTATCAATCTTACAGAAAACATTTTCTATATCATTTAGATCCCCAAAATAATACATCTAATGGCAAGTGGACAGCCAGTTCCTGTTGAACTATTTCTGACTCATGGAGACCCCGTGTGTGTCAGAGTAGAGCTGTGCTCATTTTTGAGAAGTGGAGAGCCAGGCTTTTCTTCGAGGCATTTCTGGGTGGATGCAAACCTCCAGCTCAAGCTAGTAGCCAAGCACGTTATCCATTTGCAGCACTTGTAGACTCCAGTGGCAAGATATACTGTGGTAAAACATTTTATAGACTTTAAGTATAGTGTAGATATTTAGTTTTATTAATAGTACAGAGATGCAGCCTTTTATGCATTTAGATGTAATGAATGGTAAATTTTGTGCTTTTACCTACTCTCAAATACTTTTTCATAGGTATTTTTTCTGATTATTCTGATGAGTGTTGTCATCTTGAGTGTTTTTGCTTTTTGATACTGCCGTTCTTTGAATATTTATTTCCAATAGAGTTCTGGTAGCATAGTTCCTAAGGCACTTGACTGCTAACCAGAAGGCTAGTGGTTCAAACCCACCAGCCACTCCTCAGAAGGAAGGTTGGACAATCTACTTCCATAGTGATACTGCCTTGGAAACCCAGAGGGGTCGCTATGAGTCAGGTCTGACTCGACGGCACATAACAACAACAACATCACCGATTTTTAAAGTGGAGGGATTAGTATTTTTTAGGTTTTGGGAAAATACAAGGTTGAAATTTTTACTTTTAAAGGATCAAAATGTAACTATTATGCATTTAATCAAAACAACTAGATAAATTGGGACATTATCTACAGTGAGTAGATTAACTTCTGAAAGTTTAATGTGAATATGAATCTCCTGGGGGATCTTGTTCTACTGTAGGTTTTGATTCAGGAGGTCTGGAATAGGGCCTGGAGTTTTACATTTCTATCAAGTTCCCAAGTGATGCCAGTGCTGCTACTCTGCAGACCATACCTTAAGTTCGTAAGGCACTAATAGACCACTGAGCTTTATTTCTGCATTTGTAAGCTGGTTGCTTCTGCATAAATACTATCCATTTGATTGATGGTTTGCTAGAATGTCCAACAGGAAGTAATACAGCCAGTCATAGTTCCCCTTCCATGATTCTGAGATTTTTATGCTGAGCAACCTAGTAACCAACATCAGCTCTACTACCTGCCCCTTTTGCCTTCCTCCCCCATGCATCCCTTATAGATTCTTAATGTGTCTCGACAAGAGAAGGAACTGTGTTTTAGAGCTAGGAGAGGGTGGTGGTGTATATGTAAATAATTCTTAATTTGGATCCACTTTCTGCCCTCTTAACCCTCTCATGAGATAGTTTTTAAAGAATGTTAGTAGAAATGAAATACGCTATATTGATTGACTTGCTAAGAAAAGATTTTGCAACAATAGGAATAATAAAGTTGAATAAAAATAACGTGCTTATTTTGTTTAACTGAAAGCTTTATAGCTATAACCTGCAGTTGGCAGTGCTTTTGTGGATTGCAAATGAAATGCCTGAACTGGGTTTGAATGTGCTGCTGCTGAAGGTCCGGCAGGGGGAGCTTTCGGTTCCTTAAGCTGTAATGATTTAAGAGGCTCATCACTTTGCACTCCCACTCCCTCCCCCTTCCTCTTCCTCTTCCTCAACCTCTAGCCTTTTCTTTTTTCACGGTCCAGTAAACCTGTCTCAAGGGTGTATTTCAAATTGATTACAGACAATTTGCTCAGGATTTTGTGATGAACGCAGATGTCAGAACCTGCTCGTCATCTGCCACTGCCATTGCGGACCTCCAGGAGGATGAGGATGGTGTTTATTTCAGCTCATATGGGCATTATGGGATACATGAAGAAATGCTAAAGGTTAGAAAACAACATAAATGTGCCGATCCATGCTAAAGAAAAAGAATAAAACACGTTCTTTTTTAATACATGTGCTATGGGAGAACTGCTTTTTAAACCTTCTTGGTGCTTGACGCTTCACCTTGGGTTGAAAAGATCACAGAAGCATCAGTGTCATTGGAAATTTAATTTAAGAACATTATTAATATTTACTATAAGATCACTTTTTAAGTTAAGTAGAACACTGGAGCTCTGGTAGCATAGTGCCTAAGGCACTTGCCTGCTAACCAGACGCCTGGCGGTTCAAACCCACCAGCCACTCCTCGGAAGGAAGGTTGGGCAATCCTACTTCCGTAATGATACTGCCTCGGAAACCAAAGGAGGGGTCGCTATGAGTCGGGGCCCGCTCAATGGCACATAACAACAACAACAACAAGGTTACTACTCTCCTTTGTTTTCAAACAGCATTGCTCACCTTGGTGGGCATTATCACAGATCATAGTACCATTTAGGAATTTGTAATTTTAATAATTTTTCTTCACTGTATTTCACTCATTATGTCTACAGCTGACTCATGTATTCTGTCTACCTTCATGAGCATACAAATTGCAGTGTTCTTTGAACATCTAAAATTTATAGTATATAACTTTTTTGTTGTCATTAGCTTTATTCTCATGAAATTTTTTTATATTAAGAAAAATGTGTTTAGAAAGAATACCATGACACTGCTAATCTTAAAATATTATGGCCCTAATTTTATTGTAGGAGCTCTGGTAGCATAGTGCCTAAGGCACTTGACTGCTAACCAGAAGGCTGGCGGTTCATATCCACCAGCCACTCCTTGGAAGGAAGGTTGGGTAATCTACTTCCGTAGAGATATTGCCTTGGCAACCCAAGGAGGGGTCGCTATGAGTTGGGTCCGACTCGACAGCACATAACAACAACAACAATTTTACTGTTTCTTAGTTTTAATTGGTTGATGCAAATGATAACTTTTCTATTTCTGTTTATTGCTTTGTTATTTTGTATTGAGGTATTATTGTTAGAATATAGTTTTAGAAATGGTTATAAGAGAGCTAGTCTTTTATTTGACTGCTTTTTCATACTTTTAGTAGATTTCCTTTTCAAAAGTTCAGTTAATAAATCTAAGCTCTGCTACGCACAAGGGACTGTGTTTGGTATAGTTTGGATTTCACTGCACTGGAGTGAACATCTGAAAGAAAACAGATGAATATAGAAAGCACCAGAATGAAGGACTGCCGTTCAGTCGAGCAGCCGTGCATAGAGTTAGGACAGCAGTTGGGATTCTGTTGATTAAGTTGGAGCAGTGGTGAAGCAGTGTGATTGGTGTGAGCTTTCCAAGTGACTGCCTTCTTGACTGATGCTCACCCTTTGTAGGTTTTGTTGTTTCAGTAAAAATCATTGGTTATAGTGTAAGAGGCATATGAAAAAGGCATATGAATAAATATATGGAATGGTGTTGTTTTAAAAAAGCCAGTTTTTAGTTAGATAACACGTGTATGAATGTATTTAAACATTAGATATTTTGCCAATTTTTAGAAATCACTTTAAGGGAGTGATTTAATAAGCTTGATTTAAAATTTTGTTTGTAAAGCAATTAGAAATAATGTAAATCGTAGAGTTGGTTATGGATATTTTCCCTTTTGAGATCTAGTAATTAAATAAACAAGACTTGCTTTTTAATAAAGACCTAGTTTATGGACTTTTGAAAAATCCAATAGTGGCATAAAAAATGTTTTCTGGGTATATAGTATAACAGTTTGATATTATAGATTTACTGTGACTGTTTTCTCTTCATTTAGTATGAAACCCCAAACTAGAATACTCGTTCTGTGATACTTACTTTTACCATATTCACATTCTACTTCCATGACAGCCAGAGCCTCTTACTGCTTAATTTGATGTCAGTATATATTTCAACTTAGGTTAATTTAAAAGAAAATCAGTGCTGTTCATGAACCAACATATGTTAGAGTTGGATGCCTGCTTGGTCACAGGTCATGTGAGAGTCTAGAGTATAGGAATCTCAGTGTGTGGACTGCAGGCTGCAAGGGATTTATTTCTAGGCTTATGGGCTTTGAAGCATCATTTCCTATTACTAAAATTTCTAGAAACAAAACAAGGGTCTAAATCAGATAGAGGGAGCTCTGGTAGCATAGTGGCTAAGACACTTGCCTGCTAACCAGACGGCTGGCAGTTCAAACCCACCAGCCACTCCTCGGAAGGAAGGTTGGGCAATCCTACTTCCGTAGTGATACTGCCTCGGAAACCCAAGGAGGGGTCGCTATGAGTCGGGGCCGACTCGACGGCACATAACAACAACAACAACAAATCAGATAGATGATAATCAATGACTTTCTTAGAAAAACATACTCAGTTTACCTCCATTTTTCATATGTAACTACAATGCTTACATTTATCTAGTTTGTTTTTTTCCACCCTCATTTTAATCTTGCTCTGCTATAGAGAATTAGGCTCTAGATTTCAGGCCCCATTTAAATGAGCAAAATATCATGTTCATCTTGGGTAACCCTTAATTATCAGTTGAAGTCATAGAAATAATGAATTTAAGGAGAAGAATGTTACATTCTTAAGACTAGATCCTTTTTATCTCTCAGTGATGTTTTTCAAATAAATGTTTCCTTCCTGAGTTGGTGTTATTTCTATTCTTAGTTATTTTCTTTTAGGAAAAAAAAAAAAAAAAAACTTGGTTTTATAGGCAGAAAGTATCTGTGGAAAACTAGCAATGTGTAATAAAATAGCAAATATCTTCCCTTTAAAAATGTATTTGTTTATACTATTCTGTAAACACGATTTTTCTTCTCACTATCCTAGGACACAGTGCGAACAGAAAGTTACCGAGATTTTATATACCAAAACCCACATATCTTCAAAGACAAGGTGAGTAGCAGAGACTACAGAATTGTACATTTCTTGTTCTTGCGCAGTAGGAATCCTGTGTTAGGTCATCATGTGATAGCAGTTGATTTAATGCACTCTGGCTTTATTTAATGGGAGACTTTTATACTGCTAGTCTGTGGTGCAGAATACTGATAACAGAAATGCTGATTGGTGCTGTCATTCAGTAAACTCTTTTGTTATTTCTTCATTGATTACAGTGACATAGCTTAGATAAACTTTGATTATCCAGATAATCTTAAGCCATAGTTCTGATTTATAGTAATTCCTGTGAATTTCATATATATTAGAGAAGCTCCATACCAAAGCACACTATTTTATTTTTTATTATTTGTGTTAATTATTCATTAATAAGTCATTATTGTTGAGTAAGAATAAATATTATAAGGTAGAATTTACTTTATGTTCTTTCTTTTAAAACCTCATTTATCCCTGCATGAGACACTTTATTTTTTACAGGTAGTCATAATAGTGCCTCAAGTTATTTCAGAAATTATCTTCACTTTGTGTGTGTGTGTATGTGTGTTTAAATTTGTATCATTTGTTTTTCCTCTGTTATAAATTCTTTCCTTTCTTTTTTCTTCTTCCTTCTTTCCTTTCCTTTTGCTTTAGCTACTCTACATTTAACAGCAAGTTTCAGAATCTTTTCCAATATCCATTTTGGGATGGAGTTCATTGTTGCGCTGGCTGCAACGGTTGGCTCAAGCATTTCCGCAGTTGTGAAGATGGCATAGGACCAGGCAGTTTTTTGTTCTGTTGTACATAGGGTCACTATGAGTCAACATCGACTCAGCAGGGCCCAACAGCAGCAACATCTTCCCTCCCTGCATCCTTCTTTCTCTCCGTTAGCATCGTTACCTAAAGCTTTGGGTTTTCTGTTTGTTCCTCCTTATTGGGAATTACTCCTCTAATTTATTTAAGAATATTATCATCTCTACCGTTTATATTGTGGATTTTTCCCACTCTTACTACTCAAGACCATGTTTACTAGTAATATTTAAGGTATTTTTTTTTTTTAAAGTCTTTCACCTGCATTCAAAAGGGTACTTTGAGGTTATTTCGTGGGCTTTATATGAAATTTTGCTTTGAATGTAATCTAGATTGGCTTTTCATTTTCCATAGTTCCTTTCTGAAAGTAGTATTTCCCTTGTGATTTCACCAGCTTAACAGCTCTCCAGGGACCAGAAATTTATACACTGTAATATCTCTTGGCCAAATACTACTTAGAAAAGGTTTATAATACTATTTGTTTTTTGCTAATTCCCATAGAAAAATTATTTCATTTCTTCATTATCATAATTATCAATTCTTTATACTTAGCTTATATGTTTTTTATGATATTGCAGCAGTTACTAATATTTTTTTACAGTTAATTTTTACATTTTCCCTTCAGGACTAGTGACAGTTTATTAATTTAATCTTAATAAATCATGTTCAAAAGACTACTTTGTTTGCAGTGAAGCAAATTAATGTTACTATTGTTGTTCAAAACGTTGCTTTAAATTTCTGGTTAGATAATGTATAGATTTTTATTTTATCTTCTGCTTTATATGTTGTATAGAAATTAAGCACGCCTTGGTCTGGGAATCACTAGTCCTGGTTTGTCAGGAACCAGCTATGTAGTTTTGGTCAAGCTAGTGAATCTCTTAAGGAGCTCTGGTGGGGTAGTGATTAAGGCATTTATCTGGCTGCTAACCAAAAGGTTGGTGGCTCGAAGCCACCAGCTGCTCTAAGGAAGAAAGATGGTGTAGTCTGCTTCCATAAAGATGTATGGCCTTAGAAACCCAGTGGCAATTGTTATGAGTTGGAATCGACTTGATAGCAATGAGTTCAGTTGGTGTGAGTGAATCTCTTTGGGCTTCGTGTGTGAAATAATTGTTTAAATCTCTCTGATTCGAAATTTCTATGATTTCTGTTATTGTGAAAGGACTAATTTTTTTTTTTGAGCTATCTTCTCATAATCCTTTATGATATAAATACTGAAAAGACTCAAGTATTTGTGATTTTAGGTTTAATCATTAAGAAATTAACTAATTGTGAATATGTATATGGAGCAAATCTTGCTCAATTCATAGTCACTCTCTATTCTAATTTCCTAAATTGTTACAATAGTATATATACATTATATATACATATAAAACAAAAAAACTAAACCCGCTGCTGTGGAGTTGACTGTAACTCATAGCAACCCTGTAGGACAGAATAGAATTGCCCAGTAGGGTTTCCAAGGCTGTAAATCTTTATAGAAGCTGACTACCACATCTTTCTCCTACAGAGCAGCTGGTGGGTTTGAATAACCAACTTTTCAGTTAATACTTCAGCCACTATGCTATCAGGACTCCTTGCATATGTACAAATGTACAATATTCTCTATGCATTATAGAAATGTGTATATTAACATTTTCAGACAAAGTATATGATTATGGAAAGTAAATATTTTGTTGTGTTGTACCTAACTCCTCTCACTGCAGTTAGCTGCCAAAATCAGAAAAAGGCTTATAAATATGTTTGGAATGTTTTAGCTTGATATTTTCCCTAAAATGCTGGCATTTATGTTACCAGCATGTAATTAATTTTCTTGTCATTCATGGTTTCCAGAAAATATGTAAAAAATTGAGTCTTAATTTTTAACCCCATATGGCATATTTGAGGAGTTCTGGCATTACAATGGTTAAGGCATTTGGTTGGTGCCTTAACCAACCAGAAGGTTGGTGGTTCAAACCCATGAGCTGCTCTATGGGAGGAAGATGAGGCAATCTACTTCTGTAAAGATTTATAGCCTTGGAAACCCTGCGGGTCACTGTGAGTTGGAATCGATGGTAGTGGGTTTAGGTTTTGCTTTTATGCCATATTCAGGGCCTAATTATCTGATTAACAGTAATGAATAATATGCGATTTTTCTGTTTTTAAATGATTTTTGGATGCTCTTCTTTTATTACACCATGACCAATACATTTAGAAGATATAATATCACGTTTTTAAATAGCATCTCATAACTTATAGATTATTTTCAGACATTATCTCATTGTTATTATTCAGTATACTTACAACTAGGCAGGACAAGTATTTATCTTCATTTTATACATGAGGGAACTTGAAACCAGTAGGTTAATTGACTTGCCCCAAAACATAACAAACAAGAGGGAAAAAAAAAAAAAAAACTGGACTTTTTATTCCTAGTCCAGGGCCCTTAATCCTGTACCCACTGTAGTTTACCATTATGTTAATATAGACTAAGTAAGTAACTTAACTAGGGTGGGATCTATTACGTACATAAAAAACTTAGTGCCGTTGAGTCGAACCTGACTCATAGCGACCCCTCCTTGGGTTTCCGAGGTGGTATCACTATGGAAGTAGATTGTCCAGCCTTTCTTCCGAGGATTGGCTGGTGGGTTTGAACCACTAGCCATCTGGTTAGCAGTCAAATGCCTTAGGCATTATGCTACCTGAGCTCCTATTAACTTTTAAATTGTGAGTTAAATGATTTCTGTATGCTGTGACAGGATACATTCATGAAATTATTTAAATTTAATCTTTAAAAATATATATTGAAATAATATAATGATTTCCAAAATTTTACATCCGTTGTTCTGTTTGCTTTTATCCTCTTCCTTAGATAGAAAAACTTCATATAACAATGCTAGCTTTTATGTCATATTATGTAGTACACAAGGGAGATTTCTTCCTTAAAATAGTGCTTATAATTTGAAATGTTTTCCTTCCTTCTTTATTTCCCTTCTCTCTCCCTGCCTCCTTTCCTTTCTTCCTTTCTTCCTTTCTTCCTTAATACTGCTTTCAGTGCACAGAACTCCTGTGGAGGCCATATGGTTTCTTAGATTTAATTTAACTTTGGGTGGCATTTCGTCTGGTTGTTACCCACTCATAATTAATTTCTATTTGTAGTCCATTGGAGAAATTCCCAGTTAGATGCCTCCTTTATGCTTTTGGTTATTATTTACAGTTACAATTGATTTACTTTTTTCTTTTGCTTGTTTCTAAGTCAGATTCCTTCATTTTATAAAATAATGTTAGTTTATTCTATCATTTCCACCTGTTTCTTTAGTTCTATCAAGTTTTTGTTTACTTGCCTAATCATCTAATTCTGAACTAAATGTAATATTTTAAATGTAATACAAGTAAAGATATAATTTAAATACCTATGTTTGAAAGCTAGCTCTACAGTTTACATACCCTGTAACCTTGGACCGGTTAATTTCCCTCTCTGAAGCTCTCTTTCCACATCTGCAAAGAGAATTAAATAAGAATTTATATATAAATAAAAATATATATAGTAAATTATGTGTGTATAGACTTAATATATAGTCTTAATGGCTCATATATTCAATATAGGGATGTCTATAAGTTTCATTTTTTTAATTAAATGCTGCATATAAATTACAAAATATAAAAATCCTTTTATATATGTGACGGTACAATTATAAGATAAGTTCCTAGCAATGGATTCTTTTACTTACCCCAGTTGGTATAATGGCTGCCAGTTTTCAACAAACAGTGTGAGAGTGTTGCTATTCCCAAACACCATTGCCAGGTCAGTTTACTGTCAGATTCCTGAATTCCACAGCAAACTTTTAATTTTGTAATTTTTCAAATGTATTATTTTACTTATTCTCTCACAGTCACTCATTGCTATCGAGTTGATTCTGACTCATGGCAGCACCCATTGGGTTTCCAAGGCTATATATCTTTATGGAAGCAGACTGCTTCATCTTTCTTCTGTGGAGCAGCTGGTGGATTCAAATCACTGACCTTTTGGTTAGCAACCAAATGCCTTGACCAATGCATTACCTGTGCTCCTTTTAGAAAAGTTTCTAGGAGCTTACACCTTACTAATGTGTTGTCTGTGTATTTTCATTTTATTTTATGCAGTATACTGTTTTATGCTGGTGTACTGTAACCATAATAATATACCTGTATATATTTATAGTATTATATTTTGCTGTTGTAGTTAATACATTTTATTTGGATTTTTTTTTTCTATTCTTTTTCTCAGACTTGCCTAAAATTCTGCAAAGGTGTATTTCCTCTTCCCTACTCTAGTCTATGTTCTATTTTCCTTTGTAATAGTTGGTGTTACTTGACATCATTTTGTTTATTCATTGTCTCCCTAATGAGATTGTGAGCTTTGTTAGGACAGGGACTTAGACTTGTTTGTTGCCATGCCCCATCACATAGATCAATGACTGGTACTTAGGATTGCTTAGTGAGTTATAGTAGGAGGGTACTGAAATTCCATAATTTAGAACAAGTATATAGGATTTTAAGCCATTGATTGTGAAAGACTTTAAACACTATGTTATTGGAGCCATCAAGGGAAACACTAACGCCAAGCAGGATGGTAAAAAAGGAAGGGCCTTTATTTCTGTGTGCCAGCACAGACTCAGTGGATTCACATCCAGAGACTGAGCCCCAAGCAAAGGCCACATGGGGCTTTTATGGGGCTCTTCTTCCAGGGTATTCAGGGTAAAAGGGTGATTGGTTACCTGCAAAAAAGAGTACCTGCAGCCAGCAGTTTTTACAGAAGTTAAACATGCCTGAGCGGAAGTGAGGAGCGGGAGTATGGGCAGAGGAAGAAAGGAGAGGGAGTAGGGCAAAGCAATTTTCCACTCTCTATACATGGTTTTTTCAAGCTGGCCCCAGCTGGATGTCTCTGGCCTCACAAGTTGTTTTACTGCTCAACAGAACTTCCCTACTTAGGTTGGGCAAAGATTATAAATCCTTCATTTCCCTCTCCTGCCTCAACTATAGTTTTCAAAAATTTCATTGGGTAGTATACCTCCAAGTATTTTGCTTAATGTGTTTTCTTGGTAACTTGCTTCTGTTTTTATTGTTATCTGAGCCAGAAACGCCATAATATATTAATTTAATTTAAAATGGAAGGCTTTTAGATAATACCTTTTTTCTTTATAAAAACAGGTTGTTTTGGATGTTGGTTGTGGAACTGGAATTCTTTCTATGTTTGCCGCTAAATCTGGTGCAAAGAAGGTTCTTGGAGTTGATCAATCCGAAATACTCTACCAGGCAATGGACATCATAAGGTATCTAGATGCATTTCAAGGCTTGATTTAAGATTCATTTTAAAGTTGACAATTGTATTTATTTAACAGGGTTTCTTCTCTTTAATAACAGTCTAACACAAACTCAAGATACTTGACTTTTAGTTCAAATTCATTCTAGGATAACAAGATACTAAGTTGGATTGAGTTGGCATGTTTGGGCTATAAATGGTGCTTGGTCTTTTCATGGTACTCATTGATAAAAATTACTTTTCTGTAGTTTTCTGGCTTTCCAATTAGGCATGCAAATGTGTTAATTCTGAATTTACAAGTCATTTTCATATATGGTACCATTGACAGGACTTGCTACAGAACTGAATATTTGTATTGATAATATTTCATGTTATAAATAGTGATTAGACTAATGACTAAATGGTTATCTTTTTCTTTTGTGATGACACTAGCTCTTATACCTCCATCAGATTACAATAAGTAAATTCCAGGATGGCTAAAAACAAATCAGAGTGGGTTTAGTATGTCCCTTACAATTTAATTTTAGTCTCTAAAAATATCTCTTCTCTTGAGTAGTTAGGTAAGTTAAGTTAATCTGTCAGTGATTGATTTTAAGGTTGGCTATGTCCTGGTAAGAAGGCCTTTATGTCAAACACACCTTATAGGGCTAGCCTTCTTTAACTGTGTGCTTTACAACAGCACTTACTTTGGGAACTTAGAAGTAATTTCTAGCATAGATAATTAGTAGGAGGTTTCTCAAGAGAGATTCTTAAATAATCCTTCCACTTAATACTTGCATTCCACATTTAAAACGGATTTATATTGATCTTTTCTGAGTACATTTAAACTGTAATATAGAACCATAGTATTGTAGTTTAAAAAAAAGCACAGAGTTTGGAATCAGGCTTGGGTTTGTGTATTTACTACCACATACAAGTTGTTGTAGCTTGGATTAAATTATATCTAACCTCTTTGAGATGGCTGTTGTTTTCATTGTCAAAAAATGGAAATGACTTCATATGAGGAAGGTAATTAAGTTCCAAGATATATGTCTATGATAGTTGGAGCTGTGTATCAACTTGGCTAGACCACAGTTCTGTGTGGTTTATGCAGTTGTGATGTGGGTTGTTCCAGTGATGGGATCAGATGTATATGTTTCGAGCAGCCAATCATTGAAAGGGAGTTACCCAAGGGGTGTGACCTGCTTCCAGTATATTTATGGACATCCTGGGAATAGAGACACTCTTCTGTGGTGTGGATCAGGATTCTGCCTACAACTGTCTGTGAGCGACCAATCCACCATTTGGCCTGAAGATCTTGGATTTGTCATTCATTGGAGTCAACAGCCAGTATACTGCCTGCCAATCTTGAGTTCGTTAGCCCCTGCAGCTGCATGGGGCGGGAAAAGCCTTCAGCTTGACATTTGATCCAAGAACTTGGGACTTGCCAGCTTCTATAAGTGTGTGAGCCATTTTCCTAAGATAAATTTCTCTTTCTGTCTCTCTGTAAGCTTTACTGGTTTTGTTTCTCTAGAGAACCCAGTCTAACACAACATCTAAATCACGTTGATGTATTTCCTGGCACATAGTTAAGTATTCATATATTAGCTACTTAGTTATTAATAAGTACCAAATTAATGTTAGTGGAAAAATTCAATTGATCTTGTTAAGATTTTTCATTGATATGTTTATGGTTCTGATTTTTACATGTGTGTATACATACATATACGTGTATGTGTGAATGTGTGCATGTATGCAACTCTATAATCTAGCAAAGTTTTTTTCTTGTTTTTCAGATGCCATTAGGGAACACTGTTGGCTCAGTGGTTAAATACTCAGCTGCTAACTAAAAGGTTGGCAGTTCAAACCTTCCAGCTGCTCTGCAGGAGAAAGATGTAGCAGTCTGCATCCTTAAAATTTACAGCTTTGGAAACCCTAGGGGATAGTTCTACTCTGTTCTGTAGGGTCGCTATGAATTGGAATCAACGTTTAACAGCAATAAATTTATGATATTGTTAAGTACACCACCGTTTTTTGGGTTCTATAAAAAGCACCCTGATTTGTTTATGTATTGCTGTCCAAACAGTGTGAGAACCACTGTCCCAAAGAGGAGATTGTTTTTGAAGAAATGGTTTATCACATTTTTATTGCTGATAGTAAGATTGTTTTACAATATATCTGTTACAGGTTCTAAGCTTATGAAAGACCAGGTTCATTCATGCATTGATTTGTCATTTTTGAGTTCTACAAAGTAGAGCTGATGAGCTCTTAATTTCTTAGTTTATGGAAGAAAAAGAAAAGGTTTGTGAGAACATTCATTTTGTTGTGTTCTTACTTGTTTCATTTTATTTGACAGAAACCCTGATCCCCAGTGATTTTATAAAAACATGTTTATACAGATGATTATGTTCAGATTAATTGTTTATAAAATTCGGTCTTGGAGTTTATGGTGTCCAACCTCTGAGAAGAATAGATGTAAAATATTTCTGATATGTATTTTTTCAATTATTTAAAATAACAAGGTGGGAAGTGTTTGTGATATATATACTAATACCCACTGCCTCATAGTCAATTCTGACTCACAGTGACCCTATCGACAGAGTAGAACTGCCCCATAGGGTTTCAAGGCTGTAAATCTTTACAGAAGGAGACTCTGCTGCCTCTTTCTCCTGCAGAATGGCTGGTAGGTTTGAGCTGCAGACATTTTTGTTAGCAGCCAAGTGCTTTAACCACTGTGTTACCAGGGCTTCTTGCTATTATCGATACCAAAAACAAAAAAGTACCCTTTTTTTGTAGTCATCTATGTACTTTATCACTATATTTACTGTGTTTTTTTTTTTTAAAAAAAAACCTTTATTGTGATTTGGGTACAATTTTACAAAGCAGATTTGTTTCACATTTGAAGTTTATACACATTCACAACACTGATTACAATTCCCACAATGCCATCCTTTCACCTCCTCCCTTTGTTCCTCTTACACTCTTCCTTCCACTGATGGGTGTGTAGGTTGTTTCCATCTTTTTGCAGGATGTTACATCTTTTGTAGGATTCCATCAAGAGGAATAATCTTTGTGTAGATTAGTCTTGAGATTCCAATTCCAAAAATTCTGGATTGGAATTCCAGAACAGGAAGAGACAAAGCCACAGAGAAAATTGTTGAAGATTTGGTGGAAGAGAATGCGCCTAATATAATGAAAGATGAAAATGTCCCCATTCAAGAAATTCAACAAATCCCAAACAGGATAGACCCCAAAAGAAAATCACCAAGATATACCATAATCAAACTCACCAAAACAGACAAAAAAAGAATCCTAAAAGCAGCCTGGGAAAAATGGAAAATTACTACAAAGGGCAACCTTAAGACTTAGCTCAGATTTCTTGGCAGAAACCGAACAGGTGAGAAGGCAATGGGATGATATATATAAAACCTTGAAAGAAAAAAATTTCCAACCAAGAATGATATACCCAGCAAAATTGTCCCTCAAATATGATGGTGAAGTTAGGACATTTTCAGATAAGCAGAAATTAAGGGAATTTGTTAAAACCAGGCCAACCTTATAAGAGATGCTAAAAGGAGTCCTTTGGACAGAGAACCAACAACAGCCGATGATTAACACATATGATGACATAACCCAGAAACCAACCCAGTTATGGAAGTATCCAAAGTAAAATAAGCATATAAGACTGTAAACAGTGGATTAGAGATAGCAATTAGTAAATGAGGACAACTTCAAACCAAAAAGGTAATAAATAATGTAGGTACAGAACTTCTAAATGGTGAGGAAGTCAAGACAATTGCAAGATGAAACAGACTGTTCTAAACTTGGGAAGAAAATTATAAATCACTGGATAACCTCAAAGAAAAATAATAAACCTTTGCATCAAAATAAAAAAGAGGACAAGCACAAATACTTAGCAAATAATAAACAGTAGCAAAGAAGGAAATGATAACATGATTCATAAACAAAATGAGCTCAGCACAGAAAATTAGATGAAACAAAGAAATTAGCAACACCAGGAAAAAACACCTAACAAAATGACAGCAACAAATTCATACTTATCGATAACTACACTAAATGTAAATGGATAGAATGTACCACTTGAGGCAGAGAGTTGCAGACTAGGTAAGAAAACATAACCCATCAATATGCTGTCTACAAGAGACACACCTTAGAGAAAAAGACAAAAATAGACTAAAAATCAAAGGTTGGAAAAGGATGTATCAGGCAAATGGCAATCAAAAAAGAGCAGGAGTGGAAATATTAATTTCTGAGAAAATTTGACTTTGAGACACAAGCCATGATAAGAGAGAAAGAAGGACATGATATAATGATTAAAGGATTGATTGAACAGGAGGATATAATCATAAAAAAATATCTCCACACCCAGTGAAAGAGCACCAAAATATATATACAAGACATTAACAGAATTGAGAAGGCAAGTAGATGACTTCACAGTAATAGTAGGAGACTTTAATATACCACTTTCAATGAAAGATAGAACAACTGGAAAGAAACTCCACAAAGACACAGAACTGAACAATACAACCACCAACTTGATCTTATAGACATCTGCAGAGCACTTCACCCAAAACAGCACAATATATGTTCTTCTCTAGTGCACATGGACCATTCTCCCTGGTAAACTATGCGTTAGACCATAAAGCAAGCCTCAATAAATTCAGAAACTGCAAAACATCTTCTCAGATCACAATCCTCTAAAATTAGAAATTTACAGTAGGAAGACCAACAGAAAAAGAGCAAACACATGGAAACAGAATTAATACCCTCTTTAAAGAGTACTGGGTAATAAAAGAAAGAAAAACATGAAATTAAAAAGTTCCTTGAATCAAATGAGAATGGAAACACAGAATAACCAAAATATTTTGGACACAAGAGAAGCAGAAATCAGAGGGCAATTTATTGCAATAAATGCACACATCAAAAATGAAGAAAAAGCCAAAATCAACACCTTAACATCTCCAACAATTAGAAAAAGAGCAGCAGGAAAAAAATGCATAAGAAAAGAAA